TTATTATGGTTATTTACTGGATTGGTATTCGACTGTGTTAAATTATGCAAAGTAATGATGGCAAAGGGCAACCACTGCGGCTTGTAGAATGTTTACTATACCCATCGGTACGGATCTGCTCGGTTACATTAATTAAAATCGTTGTTTACTAATGATCCTGAAAGATTACTGGCTTACTACTGTCGGTTTTAATTAGGTACAAGTCAAGGCATAGCCCGGTTCGGGCTCAGCAACATCAACTAAATTGGTACACTACTCGCTTTCCAGTAAAACTTTCCTTTCCGAACAGAAGTCAACCAGCGAGGTACCAATTACCGACTGTTGCCCTACCTCTGAGCTGTGGCGGAGCTCGTTCAGCCTCTATCAAGTGGTTGCGTTCAGTTTTCTAATCACTTCCTCAGCGTATATAACGTCAAGCTGATTTGATGAACGTCAAACACTACAGTCAAAGGGCAGTGGTCAAACGCGATCACGAAACATAGACAGCTTATTAGCTAGAAACCAAATTAAAGCCGAGCGCATTAGATGAGTGTGCAGAAGGACTGATTGCAATCTCAACACCATCACTCGGCGGAGATTGAACGCTCTTCGCCATAACTCAGAGGTAGAGCCCTAACCGGCAATTGATATGTGGCGGATTCGACTCCAGCTCCTGGAGGAAAGTTTTTACCGAGCAGTGTATCAATATCAGTGACTGCTGCTTGTTTCTAGCAACTAATCTGGAGTACCAATAACTGGCTGCGCGATCATTGGATGCATGTTCAATCGACTAAGCGGAGTGTATTTCCGGAGAAATCATTTGGCGACATTAGAGAGTAGCCCTGCACATTCGTGCTCGCCAAATCAATAACCCAAATTAGAATTTTATGAACACATATGACTCCCTGCACTAATATTCGTAGCTGCACGAAAAAAAAGAAGTTTGCCATTTATGGTACCGGTGATAAGAGACAGGAGGCATAAATTCGTGATGAGTAACTAAATAAACAAATCAGTAAATAAAAGCAGTTAGGCATTGCAAACAGCACCGGTGGATTACTGAAAATGAGGCAATTTGAGCGACAAACTCACTGCTGCCTAAATCTTCAATGCGGATGATTCAAGGGATGGTGATGATTTTAGTGAGTCATCACTTCGGCGCTCTTCTGTTCCTTTTGACAATGAACGTGCATTTCTTACGCCATGAACTCGCGCTTCAAACTTTTTGCGAATTGCAAAAGCGACCCCCGAAAACAACTCAGCGCATTCATCATGAACACATTATGATCATTTCGACAGTTCACATAGCAAATTATCACAGATATTATTCTGATACAACAGATTCATTTTGCGTTTTTAATTTGCGTATCGCGATGTTTGCGTGCTTCATCTCTTTTTCTCCAGGAAAAATGAATGTTCAGTTCCATCATAAATATCGATGAACAGACGCTTTAGTACTATAATATATGTTTGTTTATTTCGTTGTGTTGTTTTAACGCGAAGGGTTTTCGCATATTCATTCATACGACTGACACTAAGAATGTGGTGTTAAAAATTGTGGAGAAATTTGTTGTGCAGATTGTTTGACAGAGGATGCCACTTTGAGTTATTGCTCCAAGAGAGTGAGAAAAAATACCTAATCTAAGTGAAAAGCAATTAAGTGGAATCCAGTAAACTAGCGAAGTACGTTCCAGATAAGAATCATAAATAATGATATTATACAGATATTTATCAAAAAANAAAAAACGCTGTTACAGCCTTGAACATATTTTAAGTTTTCTAAACTATTTGAGAAGAACCCTTAACTACTATTTCAGAAAAAGTTTGAAATAATGCTGTGAACAATAGCTTTGTAATAATAAAATGGCAATGCTAAATCACTTGTCTGCGTCCACAGCTTATAGCATTACAAATTTCACAACATCCATCAGAGTTTTCAAACAGGATAACGTCGAATTGCAACAGCCAAGCTGTTACAATGAAGTTCTAGTCCATGTTCAATCTGAAAATTCAACGCTCTTGTCTAACTGCGGTACTGATTGAAATGTCTATTATAGATGCAGACCCACACAGTGTCGTTACCGTTAGCAAAAATAAGACTCCTTGTAAACCACTCCTTGCGTGTTCTTCGCTTCCGTCTCGCACCGTGACGTCCATGCTCAATCACAGAGCGAGTCATCTTCTCAACTTCACATTCATCATTCTCTTCGTCCCCTTCGTCACTGTCCGTTGACCATCCCATTCTCTTATATCGGATACAATGCTTCTTCAATTCGTTTTCCATTTTCATGATAAACAAACGAAAACAAATCGTAGCGACAACTCTCATCAAAGCATATCATTGCGTATGCAAAAAACACTCATAAATACTGATTCCGAACGTGAATTGGTCTCGTTACGTCGTAGAATAGCATTACAATGTAAAACAATAGCGTGGAACTGTACTTTGCTCACGCAACCAACTATTTCAGCCGGGCTATGCATTAATCCCATGAAAGATGACAGAAAAATTCAGTTACAATGCGCAAGCAGAGTACGCCTAAACATCTATAAGAAGAGGTCGATGAATAACACAACTAATTAGGTATGAGCTTTTTCAGATGCTTTTGGTGATTAATCACTTTAACACACATTTGGATCAGTTGATAAAATTCACTGAAATAAGCGGAAAGGGAATTCAACCGAAAACATATTCACTCAATATCAAATTAAACGTAAAACTACTTCGTAATGTTGAGCATTCTGCAAGTGCAACATTTCAACCGGTCAAGCTAAACAGATCCTTACTCAACCATGCCGTCCCTCCGTGAACTTGTATTCGGCAACAAAATCTGCAAGCTCGTAATAGATGATTTAAACGAATCACTGAATTTCAAAAGGCAGCAAGTGACTTGAATGCGACAATCACAAAGGTGCAGAATTCTATTCCTATGGGAACCCTCAATGCAGAATACTAAATAAATCACAACGATAGAATACCGAATATTCTTATAAGAATCAACTGAAGCATGTTTCGCATGAAAGTTTAGCGGAAAAAAAAACGCGCTTTTCATGAATTTCCATTCACTTTTTCGACGAACTAAAGAAGTGAGAACGCAATCAGCAAATATTAGAACTGAAGCGATATTAATTAAATTGTCGAAGTGCTTCTAATATATGACGGATTATTCATGTGAGTCGGCTTGAACAATTAATGGAAGAGATGAATGTGAACGAAAATAATGAAACTGTGAATGAAGAATGAAGAATACGAAGTTGATGCTTCTTTTCTCAAAAGATGAACGAAACAAACCGGCAACTAGTATTAAACAGAAACGAATGGTCTCATTGCACTGCGAACGATCATTTGAGTAAGAAAGCCGCTGAACGAAAAAAATGGGCTGAACAGGCAATAGGGCAATGTGAATCTGTAGACAGATTAAGATTAGCACCATAAAGCCGATGATAACCTTTTATTAGAAAATCGTTATTAGTGTGCGCTGATTAATTTTTTGTTGGATTGATCACTTCGGTTCAGCTTATCAATCAAACGTCAGACTTTATCAAACAACACCAACTGACCGTTTTTTGAGAATCTTCTAACTGTTCGTGTTTTAAGAAGAGATTTCTTTCAAAAGAACCGATGCTGAGTGCACAAAGATATCAGACCATTAGTTAAAAGTACGAACGAACTCGCCCACTATAAAAATCATGAAATACGAACGAATCGATGAACGTTTTCGTGGGTGGGTACATCGTGAATTTTTTTTTNTTTTTTTTTGAAAATGTTGTATTTTGATGAATTATTGATACGTTAGAGGCTACTCGATGAACTCGAAACTAATTTATTGTATTGTTGATACAGTTCCTTCTGATTTGTTACTTTTTTTTTGCTAAATGACGTATATTGTATTTACAATTGCGTCAGCTATTATTTATAATGAATACAGCTCGAAGCAGATATCGATCAATTCCTTTCGATCAGCAATTTTTCTTTTCACATGCTTTGTGTAACACTTAAGAATTATTCATTGAGAAAGAATCAGATGATTCTCAATTTTCGATTGAACGTGCAGGAAGGATGAAGTGCACGCAACTAGCACCCATATTACTTGATTACTTCGCTAAGACTACGTGTTTCCTTTATAGCCGGCAATTTTGTTTATGCCGACAGGATTGAAAATGGTTCATTTTGGGAATTGCATGCACTACTTCGTGACATGAACAATAGACTGGAAATGATGCGATTGATTTCCAATCAGCTCGACTTTCTAACCAATTTCTACCAAGGAGATTTGGAATTCTCACCAAGCAGTCATGACAAGAGACATTCAATTGAATAACCTTTTGTTTGGTCGCTAGAATTCTTACTTTCACCATCAACGGTCACCTACTGACTGTGAGTTCATCACTAGCATGAAAAGCAACGGTAGCTGAAATTTGCGAGAAACTAGATTTCATTTAATTTTTTTGCGCCGATAGGAGGACAATTCTTTTGTTCATTTATTACTGCCTTCTTCATGTATTGCTGACAATGAGNAAAAAAAATTGTTACTCGTATTTCGGTGTTTGTGATTTGTTATTCGTCGAAAACTGACGGTTATTCGAGTGTAGGAAAAGTTAGTTGTCCAATTCTCATGAGACAGCTGAGAAGTTGATTGAGGTTGTGCAACATGCCAACTGCGTTTACTCATCTTGAGTTAACACAGTAATCAATTATTCGTTTGTCGATTGTAAAGATGTGGCAACACGAATTTATCAGAGAATGAGCATCGCCTGGGCACACCAATGTTGTGTTGTTTCACTCATCAGCCAGTGAGTGTGTCTTTTAAAATATCTATACGCATTGATAAGCCATGTTCTTGAGATTGCATTTGAGCGAGAGATAAGCTCAAGTTGCAATCACTGATCAAACTAATTAGCAAGTGTTCAGATTTACATCACTTCATCTTTTTACATACAATTCGTTATGGGCATTATCGATTGACTGATTCAGCGATCGATCTATTACTGCAACAGTGATTGTCTATTAATGGAATACATGTAGCTGAAAAATTGAGTGCATTCCTTGGTGCTTGAAGAAAGTTAACGTGTTTTCTGATATATAAGTACGACTTGAATAATTCAACGGATTAATTCAAAACGATCCCGAGCCAGTGAAATAGCAGCACACTGCTTCATGTGATAAGCGACAATAGTTTTTGCTCGATGAATGCATAAAACAAGGTGGATTGATTCACTCTGCTCTTCACATGCTATTAAACAAGTTGTTTGTTTTCGTCTGATACGCTATTTGATGCGCGCGCATCAACGCATTATATCATAACAGCTGTTCTAAATGATCTCACTAGTTTATGATGAAGCAAATTAAATACGAGGTTGCCAACCCAATAATAGGATACAAGCTATTTTATAACTTCTATTGCACGTATCGAATTCCGTAATTTTTAAAATGCATTTCTTAATGAATGAATTCCGTTATCTTAGTTGCTCTCTCCTAGAAAAACCTCTAACTCTAATCTCTGAATAATTCGTCTATATGCAGTCAGTTTTACACTTGCTTCTATTGGCTCTATTTGAAAGATCGATGAATTTTCATGATTAAACAATGGAAACGCATCAGAAATACTCCCAATAATCCTTGAGCATCGATTTCCATTGCTTCGTCCAGTGAGCAATTATATAAGCAAGGAAGCTTTAAAATTGTTCGAAATGCATATGCAATGAAGCAGTTGATTTCAATACTACGAATCGAGGCAGTCAATCAAAACGAACAACACCACTCACCTTTCGTCCGCAAATTGCTGCTGCTTTCGGCATCCTCCTGAAGCTTTTCTTGCATTTGCTCTTGTGCTACCTTATGACACACTTCAAACGCCTGACCAATTGTTCGTACAACGCGCATTGCTTGACTCTGAAGAGTGATCATTTTTGATGAAGTCCTGACATCTTGGAGAATATTTTAAACATTTTTCAGTTTATGTGCAAAGCACCAACGGAAGTCGAATTTATAACTAACCGTGCTCACAGAGTGTTAAGTGATGATCATCAAAACATTGTTGCGAGAAAAAATAACAAATGAAAATTCATTCCCTATGAATTTGCTTGACAAGAACAGAAATGATCCAT